TAGACCACCTGAGATTTCATGACAGATGACATTAATTTTTAGCATGTTTCAGTGTATCCAGGAGTTGAAATACAATCTGTTAATGCACCTTGCATAGTCCAACAAAGCAAGTTCTGTCTTTCTGTGAAAATTTTGGTTTTAAAATAATCAAATTATATTAGGGTGGAGTTTACTAGATTCATTTTCAATGCTGTTTTAATCAGATGAGTCTGTGAGTTCTCTTTCTTCCCTCAGTTGTCAGATGTACATTCTTTGTAAGTAGTCAAAGGGTTCTTTTAAAAATCCTGGGCCAACAGGAGTAAAGCAATTGTTCCTTTTCCTACCTCTTAGCATCACGATACTGGAATCTCTCGCTTTTAAGAGTGCTACCCTGAAGTAATCTCCAGTACTTGCAGCAAGTCCAGCTTCTAATAGTACAACTTGAGCTTCAGTCAAAGGCTCAGTCGTTGCCCTGATACAGAATGACTGCCCATGTTCCAAAAATGTATCGATGGGATTTCCTAAGATTTTTGTTTAACCAGCAACATCAAAAACTTTCAGTGTTGCTACTAAATCTCATGAAGGGAGCATCTTATTTTATCAATATCTCTCTGCAACAGTATTGACTATTCAGTTTGTACAACGAAAACCTGAGATTGGGAATAATTCTTTCTTGCCCCTCGTATATACATCAGGTCACTGAATACATTATTGCTGGGATGGGATTATCCTCCATTATTAGAAAAGTCAAAGTGACTGTAGTTCTGGAAAGCTTCTTTGACAAGGAGGACAGGCTAGGAGGTAGGAATGGACAGTAGGTAGTTTCCCTGCAGATGTAAGTCAGTACAGCTTCACTGACTTAATGAAATTGTTATGATTTACAGACTTCTCTCAGCTACTGCGTATAATCAGATACGGTGAGGTGACAGGATCTCCCCTTCCCTACTAGGCTAGTTATTAAAATTATCATAAAGCTTGAACATTCTTACTGTTGATGAGTTCAATTTGCATATATTAGACCAAATCAAATAGCAACAAAATGTATTTTGTGCAAAAATAACATCACTATTAGGAAATTATAGTTCCCTTACAAAGTAGTGGGCCTCCTGAGCTGTGCTTTTGGTTTGTGGTTTCTCCATTGTAGCTCTGTTGATCTTGGTGCTGCCAAACCATTTTCTTCTGGTGCTGTATCTGGTCCAGATGCATTACGGCATCACAACAGATCTTAAGGGAATAGCGACAGCTCAGCACAACAGATCCACATGTAGCAAAATCACTGAACAAGTTCAAATTGTTCCTCTTGGACTGAATTTTTTAGCTTCTTGGATGTTCCAGTATTCATCTCTTCGTGAAAAAACAACTTCATGCAGAATACCCCATCTTTTGATTACCACATGTCTTCTAGGAATTGGTACATTCAAGACTGAAAATTGAAGACTCTCTGAAATCTTGGACGTTTAAAGGGATTGCAATCTTGAATGATAATTTCATGGATAATAATTTAAAAATGATGAAAAACCCTTTTTATTTACCAAAACTAGCTTGTGAAACTCATCACAAGTTACCAAAGAGGCTGAGGTCAGCACATTTCATTGAAGGATGTTTTTCAGGTACTCGGATTTGTTGTAAGTAGGAATCACACCAAGCTTGGGTTTCATGGAGAACCCAGACGCTTGTGTTTCAGGGCTGAACCCGACTTTCAGCTCTTGGTACACTTAGAAAACTGTGTGTGAATTATGCCAATGCTGTTTATCACAGTTTTCCTTTCAAAGCATACAGCATCAGAGTATCATTCTATGACCTTTAATCAGCTACAGCTTTGCTGCAGTGCAGGATTAATTACGTTTATATGTTTTTGTAAAGAAATAATGTATTTATGTTGTGTGACACACATATTGAATGTATTGGGTGATTTAAAGTATTTTATTATCAGATTATGTATAATTCTACAAATGCAATTCTACAAGTGGTAATGCCTGTAAAAACAGTTGAAATAATGAACAGTGTGAAAGGAGAGGAGATGAGATGAGGAGTAGAACAAGGGGCCAAAGAACCACTTCAAAATAAGTACTTGGGAATTTTTTTAATTACTATTACTATCATTTAGCTTTCGTATTCAAGGGTTAACAAATCACAATAACTTGTTGATTACCTTTTTCCAACGTTCCCACAGACCTCAGAGATCTGCAAATACCTGAAAAAATGTTAATTTAGGCAGCTAAAATACAGCCTTTTAATTTCTCCATTGGATACTCCAGAAGGCGTACCCTGTGGCTCAACCTTTTTTCTGAAGGTCAAGAGAGTGTTATTCATCTGACATAAGTAGCTTGAGTGTGGCATTTATAACTTGAGTAATGTTATGGATGATAACACCATTAGACATTTTTACAGCTTTAGCAGGAGTTCAGCCAGCAGGACTATCAGCCTGATAAATGCTTTCATCTTAAAGGTTGTATTGCTACAATAACCCCGAAACTTAAAGCTGCTCCTTGAAACCTATAGCCTGGCTAAAGAGATGAAGAGTGCCCTCTGACATTTCTGGGTTGCTAAAGAGCTCTCTCAGGTTCCAGTGCAAGAATTAAGATGGCCACATGCAGCTGTTCTGATCTGAATTAGAAATTACTGCAAGACTTTGTAATTTTAAATAAATCGGGGGCAGTGCTACTCAAAAGAATTAGCTTTGCATTGAGATGAGACTGAACTCTGGGTGATGAGTCCCAACATTTTGTTCCTACTCAATTATAAAGTGTTTCTACAGAATTCTAGGAGGCAGAACTCTTATACTGCTTTTTTCAGAAAGAATAGAAAGTTTCACGTCCTCTGTCTGGGTATTTTGCAGTTATAAAACTCCTAAGAGACTGGTAAAAAACTAATTTACAGAGTAGGCTGGAAGTGCTGCAATGGCAACCAGTAGGATTTTGGCTTTATAGAAGAAGTTTGTTTTGTAGAGATCTGAAAGAGAGTGGTTATGTTCTGAAAGTAGGTAGTGAAAGTGGCTGTGCACTGATGAGGTGTGTACGTTGAAACAATGAACAGTGTGAAAGGAGATGGGATGGCAGAAGTGGAAGAAGAGTGGAATAAAGGAACAGAAGGGAAGGGAGCGTGAGATGAACAAAGGTCAAGTTCTTGCCTTTGTATCTAAGAATAGTAGTCTGAGGCTTGTAGCAAACTTTAGCCACTGTTTAACCCAGCAGCTATTTAACACCAAAATATTTGTAACATGTAATGATTACAGTTAAAGCAGACAGATACTGTTTTTTCATTGCTTGTGATAATGTGAAACAACTCCATTGATTTTCTTAAGATTTTAATGACTTCACTGGAGTTCCTCTGTTAAACTGCTATTCTAGTTTACAACCTTCTGTGTTTCCTGATTATCACCTTCATCTTATAAAAAATTTTAGTACTTCTTACTTTTGACTGAGACCTTTGAAGCCACGCTTCCTTTCTGAAACTTTCAAAAGTGCAACCATGACAATTGCTTCCTAGGTGAGTACTATTGTGTAAGTCTGATAAAAGACACAGTTTGAATGCTGCAAGTCTGGCACGGCATCTCAGAAGGGAGAGAGAAAGGAAGACCTTTGACATCAGAGGTCAGCAAGGGTGATTGGAGGCTTTGAACAACAACTGTACAGGGAGATCCTAAGTAGGCTACAATTCTTCAGCCTGGAAAAGAGGTGACTAAGGGGATTAGATAATAGAGGTCTATAAAATTGTGACCAGTGTTGAGAATGTAAGTAGGGAACAATTATTCTATATTTCTTTTAGTGTTAAGAGGTAAAGGTTACTAAGTGAAGTTATCAATCATCAAAGAAGAGGCAGTATTTTTTACTGGAATCTACATGAATGTGCAGGGGAAGTGCATCCTGTTCTCTTACTCTTCCTTGACCACTTGACCACTGTCAAGATAAGACACAAGGTTAGATGAATTTTTGATGTGGGCATATAGTTGTTAGAACCTTAAATTTACACACACCAATAATAGGTGATAGACTGAAGGGCAAGTATAAGATTTGCCCTTTCTTTTAGCTTTGTTTTTAATGCTGGCTTATTTTCAAGTTGATGAGTGCCTTTAAACTTGCTTTAAAACATTTGCCTCATTTGGAATTAGGTGATAGCAGCAGCAGCCTTGGCTAGTGCATTTATCGTTTTGTGGATTTATTAATCATTATTTCCTGATGTTATTCTAAAATTCATCAAATATGCAGGATCTTAACTTGCCTAAAGCCTCCAGATGGAAAATGCTTATAAAAAGAAATGGCAGGTGCCAGTCAGTCTGACTTCAGTCAGCATGCATTGGCTACAGAGTAGTTTAGGGACAGGAAGAAACCTTGTGTTATGCATTTGGTATTTGAAATGGCAAGTAGAAACTCTTCTTCATCTCCTCCTGAATGTGTAATATATTGCTGCCTTCTTGGGCCATAATAATGTACTTCCAGTTGACTTACCATATTGCTTTTTGCCTCTGTTTTTGGAAGACATTCTCCCACCTTATCTCAGCTCATCAACTGAATAACCTGTCCTCTTGTATTCACCTTTCTGTTTCTCACAAGCTGTGTGAAATCTCTTCTAAGACCTCATTTTTGTCAGCTGTGCCTTTTGATATTGTTATGTCAGATGCATACCTCAGTTTCTGCCACCAATTTTAGAAGTTTCTGTATAATCCAAGAATACTGCAGAATCTGTGGTAGCCCTTCTGCCAGCTCACTTTGGTGGTAGTAATGGCCAAGTTCAAATAAAGTGTAATGGCTCGTATTATAGTGAACAAAATGTACCGCACTGTGAAACATTACTTGCTTACAGATTTTAGGAACTTAACCTCTAGACCCTGGTGCTTTGACTTCATTCTTATATAAAGAACCATTTTTGGTTGTAGTGTCCTATTGTGGCACCATTTCACATCCCTGACTGCTTTGCTCTCAATTAATTTCCAGTGTAGCTAATTAGTTAAAAGATGCGTTTGAAGGAGGGTCCCAGTGGCTGACATTTGGTGGGTCTGAGGGCCGTTCTGTTATTTCCAGGTACTGTTTGGCACTGCTGATGGTCAGGTTATCGTCATGGACTGCCATGGCCGAATGCTGGCCCACGTGCTCCTTCATGAGTCAGATGGCATCCTCAGCATGTCCTGGAACTACCCCAGCTTCCTGGTGGAGGACAGCAGCGAGAGCGACACAGACTCTGACGACTATTCCCCACCGCAAGGTAGTATTGGGTGCATGTCCTTCTGTTGCATGTTTGCAAGCGCTCATGAAGATATCTCAAACACTAGGGAGTGGTCATGCTCTACTGAAACAGTAGGATGGCCATGTTTTCAGGCTGGTAGAGGCCAAAAGATGGTGTGTTCCTTGGAGATAGCAAGGGTTGGGGTGGAGCAGAGGGCTGGTACGGAGGGGAGTGGGTTCGTCGCCAGCTCTGCCACCAGCCTGTCTGCGTGGCTTGCTGCAGGTAGTACCTCATCTGTGCTGCTCTGCCTCTGTTTGCACAAGTGACATAACACAAAGCTCAAAGATTTTAGTCAGGGTAAGCAAAAAACACTAGATAGGGGCATATCAGATTTCACTGATAAGCAGGTGTGAGATATTGCAATGGTCCATGTGTATTGAGGTAGTCAGAGGGCAGTCACAAAAGTTAATGCATTATTATATAGATTGTGTGAAAAAACACCAATATTAGACATAACGGAAAGTACTACATCTTTAATTTTAAAGCAATCCTATGAAACAGAAATAATACTAATCCTTATAGTCCCATCCTTGATAGTCCTGATGTAAAGAGCTCAATAAATTCCACAGAAAGATTGGAAACTAAAATATTTGTTGCAATTACACAGGGTAGAAGAAGGGTGACTGGAGCTGTCTGGAGTTACTAATTCCCATGTTTCAAAGCACATTGCCAGTTTGAGAGTCAGGAAGAAATCCTTGCCTCCCCTTAAGTATAAATGCAACTCATAGGGTGAAATACTTGGTTTTAAACTCTTCGGAAATCATCAATAGCAAAGACCTAGGAGACTTAGTTGTCCATGCATAGTCTGGGATACAATGTGGTCGTTGCTCCTTTCACCCCTATCCTTCTTAAGCAAGCAATGCTAATACTTCTTTTTGTTAATGCTGCTGATTAGTCTCTTAAGATCTAGGTAAGCTGTTTCTGTGTTCCAGTGTATAAAGCTTGAACTAAATTAAGTTTGAACTAATATAACAGTGATTGTACAATGAAAAATTTAAATACATAATAGCTAGAAATAATTCTGAATCTGCATCTCAGATCTTAGCCACTGAATTGAGGACTCTTGGAGTTTTAGCTCTAATTTGGACTCAGTCAAAAAATGTACCTTTTCCAGAATCATATGTATATATGTCAATATAATAAGTATATGTATTTTTAAAATAATGATAGAAGATCCCATGATCATCTGGTAAAAACTGAGTTTTGTTTTGGCTTTCGTGCCTCACTTTTGGTCCATTGTGAGATTTCTTGCCTTAGAAGAAAAGAAACAAACTTCACATTTCCTAGCAAGCTTCTAAAGCAAGACAAGGGACAACATTAAATTGGTTTTTCATTGCTTTTTTTAAATACTGAGGTTCCAGTTGGAGGATGGTGAAGATGCAGAGTACACAGATGAGAACTTAAATGATCCAAATGTGCTAGCTTTTTCTGAGTCAGTCAGGGGTGGGTGGACTCATTACAAGCCTACAGGCTTATTTTAATGATTACCCAAACATGATGTGTTTTTTTTAGAGCAGATGCAGCGTAAACTTCTCAAAGGTGACAAACCTTTGACTCACACAGATGTGTAGGAAGGACTGGAAGTTTGATGGTTTTTTCTTATCAAATTATACACGCACAGAGTTGCTAAATAATAGGTGTCTTTCTCCAAAGTGCTGTTGATCGGCTTTTTTACAAGTTAAGGAAACAATACCACTCTTAACTCGCTGTGACATTTTTTGTTCACTGAAAAGGTACTGGTTGGACCTTGAGAGGCACTTTATCAGGGGCCAGCGACATCTCATGTCAGAACTTGTAAACAAAAAGAGTTTAAACAGCGAGTGCTACAGAAGATGACACTGGTCATTAAGTAATTGAACAAGGAAATTTTAGTGAATATTGAAAAACAAACCTAGAGGAGCAGAGACTTTGTAGAAACGGTTTTTAAAGCCAAGTGTCCATCTGGGCTCATCTCCACCTTTGAGTGCATTGGATCCTGTTATGCAGGATGGCAGGTAACTTTTCATGCTGCTGCCTAGCTCTTAACGTTTAGAATACAGTAATTTTTGAAAGGTCAGTATGTTCTCTTAGAAGTTCTTATAATGTGACTTCAGGAATAACTTCACTAAATCTGCTTTGCTTTTGCCCATAGACATTGTAGAAATAAGCAGGTAGAGTTTGAACCTTGGAACCACTCCTGATGGCGGTAGGCTGAAGTACAGTGTATCTTCATCAGCCTATGTGTATTACATCAGCCTAGATGTAATTCCTTCTGGTTGCTTGCATTTTGCTCACTCTAGAGCCTTGTTTTTGCAGATGGACCAGCTGCGTATCCAGTCCCGGTGCAGAATACTAAGCCACTACTTACCGTCAGCTTCACGTCGGGAGACATCAGTTTGATGAACAATTACGACGACCTGTCTCCTACTATCATCCGCTCAGGGTTGAAAGGTACGAAAGGAAGCCCCTTGACCCCCTTGTTATGCTCTGTTTCTTGTATTTTTAATTATGTGTGTACAGGTTATGTTTTTGCGGTTGTCTCTTCTAACCCAGAAGCACTGGGCCACCGCTATTGCCATTTCCAGCAGTGACACCTGCTGGTGGAAGAGTTTTGCAATCTGCTTGCATGATAAGAGTTTTCGTGTTTGAAAAAAATGCTTAGGCTTTTGAGATTGTTTTTTTTTGTGGCAGTTTTGTAGAGCAAATTGATCTGTTTGCTGTTTTTCAGCTGACTGGGCTAATATGTTTATGCTTCTCTGTGTGAATGCCTCTGTAACACTTCCTTAGCATCTTTAATTCACAAGGTCTCCTCCCATGCTTTTGGTAACCAGGCGTGAATCGCAATGCTGCTTTGGCTCCTACAAATTTTGGAAACTTGCTAGAATTATTAGTTATCAAGAGGCAAGTTATTCTGAGAGAAGGAAAATTCCACTAACTAATTCCTATCCATCTTGCTAAGTGATGTGCGTGAGTGTTTGTAAGATCAGTATTCCATGTAAAATCTTTAATCACATTGAAATTTCTACTGTTCTTACCTGTCAAAAAAGTCCCTTACTTTGCCAGCACTCTCAGTACAATTTATGGTGCTTTGCCTGGAGAGAAGTTTTAATTCACTACAGCACATAAGCACATACTTAAATATAGCTTCCATTGATTCTTTTTCATCTCCACAGGTAAATTAGTTTTATATTAGATTCAAAAAAACAAATTAAGCTGTTGGAGCAGACTCTTAGTGGTTCTGTTACAGTGGGATATTTTTGGTGAAAAGTTGCCCTAACACCAGCCCAGTGGCTTTTGGGTGATCCACTATGTAGGGTAGTCTTACTATGTTAAAAAAATTGCCTTTGAGGTTTCTTTTCCACTCCTGCTTCCATCTGTGCCAACACAAGAAGCACATGGCTGGCAAAATGTAGCATCCTGGGGCAACTCTGTGATCCAGAAAACTTCTTCAGCCTAAAGTCTGGGAAACTGGAACCAATTGAGAGAAGCACTTGTGATATCCATCAAGGGGTGTGCCCAGCATCTCTACAGAATTACTGTAAATAGGGTAGGAAGTATTGTTGAGTTGTCATCTGGTCTAGCTTTCAACTGGGAGCAGTAGGAGAAACAAACACCATCCTATTCTCTGTTTAGAGTTGCAGGGCTCTGTCTTGCTAAGGATGTCTGTCCTGTTTCCCCCATTGACTTTCAATAATAGAAAAAAGATCCCTTAATTATGTCACCCTCCTCTAGCAAAATTTTAATGTACAAGCTACAGTAGAAATATTTTTAATTAATTGTAAGCTGGACTACATTGTTGACATCAGTAGAAGAAGAATTGCAACGTCTTGTTGAATTGGGAGTGTGTATGAGAGAGAAAGAAAGGTGATGGGGATATCACTGTTGTTTTGAAGCTACCCATTGTATAGTGGAAAATATATTGCATATAGCTGTCATATAGATGTACCTTCTTATCAGTTCTGCCTCTCCCCCCCCCACCCCCCCCAGTGACTGTAATTTTACTGGTTATCACATGCAGAGATTTCCACAAGAATGTGGAAAACTAACCAGTTCAGAGTCTCTATCCTCTCCAGCCACTTGGTATTCTGCTGAGAGCAGACAGTCTTCAGTATTGAGTGCAAGTCTTAATTCATGTTTTTCTGTTTGAAATCTGTAAGTATTGCTTTGTGGTCTCTGCAGCAGATGCCCTTGTCTTTATGGACTGCTGTAGGCTACTCCATGTGTTTTTAAAGCAGGCAACTATAAAAATAGTTCAAGCATTACCAATATATTTTTGCTGTCCTATTAGCTTTGCATAGGTGTTATTTTATTGGGAGTTTTCATATTAAATTGATGCAGAAAAAATATTGCTGTTGGATAAGAATTTGATCACACAAGTTCTTCTTTTCATCCAGCTTGAACACTCCTGGAAGTTTTATCAGTTCTAGTGGAGGTCCTGTTCAGTTGTATCCTTCCTTTTTTTTATGCTTTTTAACTCTGTGATTCTCAGTACACTGCTACTTTGCTGAACTGCTGAACTGCATCTACTAGCTGTACTAGTTAGCTACAACTACTTACCTGCACAGCTATTGCACACTTAGAGTGCTATCTGTTCGAGGTTTGCTGATATACATACCGGTAGTGGCTGGCACGTAGTTTTGAGGGATGGCTCTGATCCACTGAGACACTTGTGGACTGTTACCCTAGATGAAACCTCCATCTGTTTTCTAATATCTGCTTGCACTGAGAAGTACTTACCAGTTGAGCTATTTTACATCAAGGTTTGATAATGGTTGAAGACCCGTTGGCAGTGCAAGCGTGCTGTAGAGCCACGCTGTCCTGGGGGGATGCTGCAGCCCACGTCCAACCTTTCACTGCCTTTGCAGCAGCCTAATTCTAGGAGTTTTGAGAGAGAGAGAGAGAGAGAGAAATTCTGGACACAGTAATCACTCCTCTTCCTCTTGGTACGGGCCTCAACTGAAAGCTTTGCCTGACGACATGTATCCAAAGGAGACTGTTTTTTCACTTTGGTGGTTGTGTAGTTAATCCTGTTACCAAAAGTGGAGTTGCTCAGCTTGCCTCATTAATTTCTCACCTGCCTATCATTATACTCTCTGAGAAAGATTAATAAATCCCATTGTAGATTACTTAGAGGGTTGAGGACTAAGAGGAAAAAAGAGGCATACAATGCCTAGCTGTGGAAAGATAATCTTTCCACATGCATCTTGCCTCTGATATGTACAGAAGCATAATTCCCATGAGAAATATCAGAAAGTTGAAATATACAAAACCATTTTAAATTGCACATAAAAGTCCCTGAAAATGACAAGTTGACAACTTGAAACAATTTTGAGATCTTTCCTGCCAACTCTCATTTCTTTCCTGCGTCTTCATTTGAAGACAGCTTCTCGCCCACAAATGTCTTCAAAAGGTTCTTGGCAGATTGAGCAACCCAGAGTACAAAAGTTTTGTCTTTACCTTCACTTTGTCTCAGACCAAAATAGCTGCATTTCACCTCCGGTTTAAGAGTAAAAAGGTTTAAAGACTAACTTAGTATTCTTTGCATGTGCAAATCTGCCTCCAAAACACAAGCAGAAACACAAAATACTGGTTTAGTGCTCTTGTTGCAGTGTGACAAAGAGCTGGACGGTATAAGGGTTTGAAATTAGCATCCCCAAATTAAGCTCTGTGTGTTCCTCATCATGAGGTGCCTGTAGGAGAAGTAACTGATAAGTATGTTCATATCCAGTTATATGAGAGACTAAGCAATCCCTGTGTGCTTCTGGCAATCTCCTGTTAGACAGATGAGTAGATTTTCACAAGTGGTGTTGAAAGAAAACCTATGACATGGAGGCCATCTGTATTTATGGACAAAAACCCAAAAGTCTTTCTAGTTTGGTGTTACACTAAAATGTAACTCTAGTTTGAGTGGTACTAAAAGTTAATATTTGCAGCCAGTGAGAACATGAGACATTGCCAAATATGCTGCTTTTTTGCACTGTAGGCCTTTCCAGGCAAATATTCTTTGCTGGTCTCTCTGTCAGTGATGTTATTTATCTGCTTATTAACTGAATTCTAGTTATTTACACCAAAGATATGCATAGGATCTTCCACATAAATTTTAACATCTCTAATAAATTCTTGTATTTAGGAGCAACGACTGATCACATTCTAGACTCACCATAGAGAAAAATTAATGGGTTTTACACAATTTTTTTGCAATTCGCAAAATAAAAAGTGTAATTCTCAGATGTGCATATATGGCATACTTGTCACTATATCAATGAAAGGATTTAGGTTTCTAAGTACTTAAGTAACCTTTGAGAGTGTGATTTAGCTGTTCAAGTCACTTTGCAGCATCTGGAAACGCTGTTCCTACTGATTCTAATCAGTGATTATTGCAAACTGTCTTTGCAATTTCAGATGTGGTGGTACAGTGGTGTACACAAGGGGACCTACTTGCAGTAGCAGGCATGGAGAAGCAAAGCCAGCTAGTTGATCTTGGCAATGGTTCCCTGTTGAAAAGCGCACTTGTCAAGTTCTACAATGTGCGCGGGGAACATATCTACACTCTGGAGACACCCGTGCAGGTAGGAGGTATTTTTTAAGTCAGTTCTCAATGCTTTGCTGACATGCTTTTTCCACATTAGCTCTTTGCTATAGACCTGCAATGTAAAAAGGTTTACAAAATGTCCTGAACACATTCTAAAATACAATACAGATAGAAATGCACTATAAATAGTTATTGTTTGCATTAAGGTAGACATCCAAGAATGCATCTGATTCTGAGGCCCACTGTGCTAGGTATTGTGCAAATATATAATGAAAAACAGTCTGTTTTCCAAAACCATTGGGCCATGAATGAAAACAATAGAAAAAGGAAATACTGTTGTTTTACAAGTAAGTGACTGAGGAGAAAAAACTGGGTAACTTGCTTGGCGTTGTAGCAGAGCCAAGAACTAGACAAAAATATTCCAAGTCCAGTGTCATAACCATGAGATTATTCTCTTTGTTATTTGCTGTGATTTTCTAATGTGCAATCAGAGGATCTAATGCAATATTTTACTTTTTATGGCATCAGATAGAGAAGGATGAATCAGAAAGTCTTGTTTCTGTTCCCACCTTCTGTACAGATTTTCATTGCAACCTCGGTCATGTTACTTGACAAGTAAATGTCAACACGTGGCCGGCGTGCTGCTTAGGAGCGCAACGTGCTTCATAGGTCTTTGCTGATATTTCAGAATTCAGCTGAATGTCACTCTACAGTTTATTACATTTTCTTCAGAATAGGGATGTCTGCCTTCTGATTTCTGATTGTACTAGTGAAACTTAATTAATTTATAATACCTTTGAAATCTAAAAGTGAAGGAAAATGCTATAGATACATTTACTTAATTATGTTTAATGATGATACCATTTATTATCATTTCTTTTTCAGTACCCTGATCTGGGATGGATACAAAAGGATGACATAGTAAACCAGCTGCTAAGCTTTTGTCTTTGCTTATATTTAGCATTAACCTGTGCTTATTAACATTAGCACCCTAATTTAGATAGAATTCTTTAGTTTTGTAATGTATAAAGTAATGTTCTCTAAAGCCAACCTAAAAATGTACAGTGACGTCTAATGCTGATTTAGGTATCTAGAGGACTTACCCGTAGACACAGCGTTACTGTCTTAAACATAGCCCTTTCAGCTAAGCAGCACAGCCCTTTGCTCTCTGGATCGATTCTGGAGAGAACATTTATACCAGTGTTACTTATTTCCAGACCAAGTGAAAACCAAACCTCATTCTGTTACTTATGTCTATGTTAGCTCTTGAACCAGTTTAACACTCTGGTGTCAAGTTGTGAAATCAAGCAGTGGTTTGAGCAGTGGAACTGGTTGCCTTAAGGTGTGTGCGTGTGCAGGCTCATCTCTTAACTGCTCTCTCCCCCGCTTTGTTCCCAAACACCTCAGATGCCATTGTTTCCTCTAGTTCTCCCTATATCCCATCAACTTCTTTTCATATTTTCAGCTCTTCTTTCTCCCCTACTTAATGAACGGGGAGAAAGCACATATTGTGGCTGATGTGAGGGCTAACTATTCTGCCATTATACGAGTACTTATACGACAACTGACAGGTATACAGAACAGGTAGCTGCCAAGTTCGTACTGCTGTATTTCTCCGTGAAAATATTAACTTGAAGCTCTGCTCTTTCCAGCTGCTAATTTTCACTGAAATTGCAGCATTTTAACATCATGGAGATTTCTGCCCCCTTAGTCAACAGCTTCAGAAGTTGTAGTCCAGGTTGGAAGTGAAGGATGGGGGGATGGCAACCATAATCATGGAGTCTCATTTCCTTAGAAACCGGGGTAAAAATGACATTCACACTGATGTATTTATGTTTATTTAAAAACTACATGCATAAAGCTCCCTAGAATTAGAGCCACTCCTCTCAGTAGTTAGCATTTATGCTCTTTATTTAGTGCATTTAAATTCCTATTTACTCAGCTGCAGGAGGAAGTGAGGGGGTCTTTCAGAAGGACACCTGTATCTGCTCATGTGGACTTTATGCTTCTATGTATTTGAATGCTGGTCTAACAGTTTTACCAGCTGAGTAACAGGTATGGTAGAACATTGCTAAGTATTTGGTTTACTAACAAAACCAGATAAAAAAATGCTGTTGCAAAAAAAATTGCTAGTAACTTTTGTTATTCTGCATCTCTGCTCCAAAGATGTATATGCAAAGATGACAAGAGTGAGTCACTGGTCCTAGTAATTTGTCTGATGACAAATTCATCGGAGTAAATTAACTAGTTTTTTGTACCATGACAGTCATCCTTGTAATGAGTCTTTATAAAATTCATCTCTGGTTATTGAAGAAAAGGATTTCCTCATCACGAACTCTTCTGATAAAATTGTTTCTTCTGAAGCAAGCGAATGTATGACTGGAAAAGAACATTTATTCTAAATGAGCGTTGTTCTGAATATAAAGGTCAAAAAAAGTAAAGCAACAACAGACATAGAGAATAGTGGATTACAGGTGCAAGACTGATCTTCCATGTGGTCCTCCGTCGCAATTCTTTGATAAAGCAGATGTCTGAAAATTTTATCAGTAAAATATGCTGAACTGGTTTTGTGTTCTGCTGTTTGTCCATCTTGTCTTTGGTAAGATATTCAGGAAATAAGAGATTTTATCATTCATAACAAAACTCAGTCTAAAACTGACATAGGATTTATATGCAACTTGGCTAGAATGTTACCTAACATAACAAACCTAACCTCGCTGCAGACCCCAAGCTAGAATAGATTTGGGTACTGCAGGTTACTCATGTTGATGATATCTGTTGCCATGGATCCCTTCAAGGTGTTTTATATGCCACCTTCTCCTCCAGCTTTAGTATGGTTTTGGCATCTTCTGTCTCATTTGATTCACTTAAGCACTGACCTTTGGTGTAGGATTTTATGGTTCATAAACCTAGTTTGCTCACTATAAAACCCTAGACAGGAAAATCACACTTATTTAGAAGTATCCAAATGAACACAGTAGCTTTGCATGAAAAATAACTCTCATAAACAGAGCGGTAGAGTGTAGCATAGTGTAACAGTCCCTCTTTGTTCCCTGCTCTGGGGCTTCAGTCTGCAGCCCTGCCATGCTGCAATAATATATTTGCAGAATATAGTGGAAAGAGCTGAAAAAGCATCAGTAAGGGTTGGGCAAATGTTGAACTTCGGCTAGACAGAATCAAACATTTTTGAATCTTGAAAGAAGGGTGAAAAAAATTCAGAAGGGACTTCAGGAAGTCACACCAGACCTTTATCTTATTGGAAGGAGTTATGCGAAAACCAGGTCCATACTGTGACTCCAAAGACTTGGTTTTATAAATGAAGATCATATCTTACTTATTTTGTAATTAAACAGCGTATCTTAAAGGCTGTTGATCAGCTGATAACTATTCAAAAATATACTGTCGACTTCTGTAAAATTCAACTCTTACTATGCTTGCCGTTGTGTCCACGAACACTAACCTGATGAACCAAAAATATGCCCGGTTGTTTTAGCTGGCAGATTTTCATGGTCTTGATTTTTCAACATTTAAAAAAGTGATTACAACAGCAGACTGCCCTGGTGCTCATAATTTTTTTTTTTTTAACAATGTTAATTTCTTACATTATTTGTTACATACTCATAACCCTTCCCTGGCATCAAGCAGGGATGAGAATAATCAACTCATTCAAGACTTTTACAGTCGTGCTAAAATAGTTTACCAGAAATCTGCAACCCAGTTCTGTCATTTCAAAATTCCTCATCTGATGTGCAGACAATTCTTTATTATATCAGCTGACCATACCTGCTGCCATAAAGTTCTCTTCTAAGTGGATACAGCTGCTTTGTATCTTCCCATCTGAACTTTAAACAGAGGAGTCTCCCTCAGGATCACTTCAAAATTACCTAGCTGCCAGCTTTACTAAACCTGTGAAATTATTCCAGCTGGTGGTTCAAGGTTGTGCCTTATACTTAAGTTCCTTCTTCACTTTTTATAATTTTCTTTCCTATATGTCCCAGAGAGGACCAGGGTAACAAGAACATGGGTTTAGAAACCCTGATGCTTATCTCTTTTATATACCTATAATCCTAGAGTAAATTTATATTATCTTATGATCTTATAGCACTGTGTGACTGTTGTAGGAAAAGATGAAACCTCAAATGCAATGAAGAAGGATAAGAGTAAACTGAGCCCTGTATGTTCCAGAATCAAATGTATAGGCAACAAGATAAACTGCAGAAAATCTGTGATCACATTTTTATCAGTGTAATATTTTAAAACCCGAAATCAGACTGGTGTACCAAAGGCTAAATCTTTATGGGAGACGTTTCCAGGAGTCTTTGAGAAGAAGATCCACTTGCTCTAAACCTGCTGCTGTCAGCAGCAGCCTTAACAGCATTTCATTGGGTTGCTTCTCTACTGGGAATGTCTTGGCATCTGAATGGATAGATTTAAGATTATATGATCCTGCAGAAACCTGGTAGTTGCATAAAAGCTATTTTACTAAGGCCTGAGGAGGAAGGTGCCATTTTAGGTTAAATTCAGATCAAAAGGCCTATTTTGTTGTTATTGGATGACAACAAAGCTTCAAGAAGAGTTTATTTTTTTACAGAAAGAGAAACAAGCAACAGTTTAGAACTAGCTGGAGCAACATTCTTTGTGATATCAATAAGGACCTTGATATTTTCTATATAGACCATAAAAGAATCTCTGAGTGCTGCAGAAATGGGTCATGATCAGGACTGGAAAACAGAGTTACCTGTCTAAGCAAAGATTCATTCTGCTAAAATGAAATCTCATCCTTGTAATGAAACCTAAAAAAAAAAAACAAACCCAAACAAACAAAAAAACAATTACTGTAGAAATAGGGTGTAAGGAACATCTGTAAATCACATAAGAATTTGCTGCATGAAAAATCATATAAGGTCACAGCAGGGTAATTTTTGACCATGTCATAGTCTTCATTGCTTTTATCGCCATCAGTTCTTCCTAGTTAATATTATTCCCACTGTAAATATGGGGAACAGAAGAATGAAGAGGTTATGTTACTTTCCAGCAGCCATCCGTGAATCCTGTGACACACACAAGTCACAAGAGCCAGGTGGGCACTGCAGTCATTGCACCTTCCAGCTTCTTTCTGAAAAAAGCAGAGGGAAAAATGCGTGTCTCCACATCAGCAGTCTAAAGTGAGAGAAAGCAGGCAACGTACATCAGAGTTTGATTTACACATACCATTTACTAGATACTATTTTGTAGTTGGGTTCTTTCTCCTGAGAAAAATTCTTCTTGTTGCTGGGCTTTCTGCCCTGGATTATCATTTTTATTTCATTACCAGTGGGACTCCCAGTGCCAGTAGACAAGGGATTACTGCAGGCAGCAGGCAGGCCCTGCGGCTCAGGATTTCTCAGCTCAAGGCAGGCAGCAAGAACCAGCTTGAACAGTGTTTTCATTGACTGAACTGCATACAAGTGATGAAAGGTATATAAAGTGAGACAGGTGAGTGACTTACAAGAAGCAACCACAGAGCTCAAGGAGGAATGTCCATTCCCGCATGCTTTTGTAAGGGGAGGTGACATCCCAGCAGGGAGTACAGATTTGAGTGGGTATAGCTGAGCTTCAAGCCCACTCTGAAAAAAATGGCAAAAGACCTTCTTGTTGTCTGCTTTTTGAGATGTGTTTTCAGTCAATATTTCTCCTGATAAAACATCTCTCTTGTTTGTCCTTTAGCCAATTATTTTTAATATATAATTGTCATAGACCTGAATCCTATCTATGTGTAGAAGTTCAAGGTTTTTTCCAGGATTTTTTTTCCTACATGTTTGTATTTAAACCCTGGAATTCATTCAGGTATTTACAGTTTGTGCTGAGATTTTTCAAAACCCGATGGGATTTTTATATGCAAAGTGAGATTCGAAATTATCATTAGATGTTATATTCATAGCTGCATTTCCTTGTTCCTAGCAGAAAAAAAAAAGTGTGCAAACATGGAATATAAAATTCTTTTGTGCTAAAATCTGCTTGTTCATTTTCTAATGGGTACAATATGGGTATCAATAATTTTTTTTTCCTTCCTTTTTTTGCTAAAACAATGCAAATAAGTAGATGCTTTATGAGGAGCAATACTTTCGTGTTGGACGTTGGTTAAATTGTTTTTTCTCCGCAGAGTTTGGAACGAAAGCTGTGGCCAGCTCATAAGTGACTTGCTGCAGTAATTGATTCATATCCCTTGTCCTTCAAGGGGAAGAGTGGGAAGTGTAGTTATTGAAAAATATTATTGGAGCAGTACATTTAAAGGTCAGGTCAGATCTGGCATTTGGGTGATCTTTTATTTCTCCAAGCCTGTAATGACAGGCTAATTTTCCTTGAACCTCATCTTAAATCTTAGCCCTTCATCATAAATGAAGTGTTGCTGGATATTAGTCTTGAGGAGTACTGGGAGACTGACCGTTCCATAGAAAAGGGAGGCAAGGCATGTCTGGTGAATCAGCAAGCAATGACAAACCGGTATGGTACAAATGCTCTTTGATGAGATTGAAAATACTAAGATTAAAACATGTGAGGTGTGTGGGGAGACTAAATGTACAAATGTAGGAGTAGAAATATGGTTTACAAACAGTCCAACACTTATAGGTATTGTGTTTAAATACATGCACATGTTTACGTGTGTGCAAACAAACATAAAAATACATAAACAGAATATAAGGGAATCAGATATTCAGAAGTTTAGAAGATGGCTCAACTATGGTGACCTGTTGGGAAACCGTGGTGAAATCATGCAGTGAGGTAATGTCTTTCAAATTCTGACTTTCTACTCTTCCCCAGCTCCACAGTGCTGGGTTGCCAGAGGTCCCACACAGCGTTTCAAAGCTTCTGAAAAAGCTGTTCTTGGGAATATGTCTAGGATTGCAAAGATGCTTGCACTGGTGATATCTGCATCTCTGCTATTCTCTGCATTCAGCGGTAAGCTGAGGAGAGAAGTGGTTTCATTTGACTCTATTTGGATGAAGAGAGTCCTAGCTGGGTGTGATATATTGGGTTATAATAGCTGCAATACTAGATTTCATGGCAGGGCTATCTGGGTGTGCTGTATTGGATTGTGACAGCTGGGATATTAGACTTCTCTTCTGGCATTCAACTCTATCCAATAAATAAACATTTGTGTGCTAAGTCACATACTTGTTTGGTCATTCTCCAGGTTTATAGGAATGCTTTAGTTGATGCAACATGAACAGAAGGATGCAGTTTGGCTTCCATGGTAATGCTCAAGTAGAGGGTTTCAGCCCTTGGGGAAATCAGGGTCACTTCTACTGGTGCCTTTCTCAGGCTGTCTTACAGTAGCTGTGGCAGGTACCTAACTTGTGTCAATGCCTTTTCAGTTGCATTTATTTTGGAAGCAGCTTGAACTGTCTCATTACTGCCAGACAGTGTGAGGGCTGAGCCACACTCTCAAATCCTGAAAATACCAATCGGTGAGGAATACTTAATGTGATCTCTCATCAAATATCAGGCTGTATCCCACAGATTATGGTTATGACAAGCCATGTAATAATTAGTGATGGTGCACACAGGATTTCTCAATTCTTTTGAAGTTCTCCACTACAAAATGCCTTTAGCAATTACTGTGAAAATCACAAGGTTCACATGTTGCTGCTTTCTGTTTGCATATCAGTCAGCCTGAAGGTTTGTGCCTCTGCAGAACTATGTGTGTGTGTGTGGTGTTGCCTAGATATAATGAAAATGAAGCTTCTTCATTCCTCCCACTTCAAAACCAGTACTGTCCCTGAAATTTAAGTCTAGGATAAGATGACATAGCAGGGAAGATCTTTTCTCAGAAAAAGTTGTTTTATCCAACCTTTTATCTTGATGATAGACATTGATACAGTGCTGCACAGCTGCGTTTTGCTTTATATCAGTCACGTAAAAACATCTTGTGCCAGTTTCTCACCTTTAAACATCTTGAATTGGTAATTAAAGGGAAAGCTTTTTTTCCCCAGACTGGATTAGTGACTTCTGGGCTGATATAACCTGGGTATCTGCGTACTCTGTATACTAGAGAGGAGTGGATAAAAGTTACTATTGATGATGCCTTGACCCTTATCTGCTGTATAGTTAATTCTTGTTTGGTGCATCTTGTGAAGAGCAAAGATATTCCAAAGAGACTCTGACCTTTCCGATAATACAGTTCATAATTTAGATGAAAAACTTGTTTGTTTAAACTTTTGAGTGTCACGGATTATAACAAGAAGGGAGCCCTATACAGGAAGGAGTAAACCTTTTGTAAGTTCGCTGATTACAGCCTGCTGCATAGTATCCTTCATGGAATGATAGTTTCTTCTTTACTCTGTATTGTTTATTTGTATAGAGATAGCAGCTATGGGATTGAAATTCCATGCAGTATGTGTACATGTGCAAATACAGATGCTTTGTAACACAGAAAGGAAGAAATGACAGGTGAATGCAGCTAACACTCATGAAGAGCAACAATAAGAGGTCACAACAGTCTGGTGCTTTACATGAAAAAGATGGGGGTTTGGAAGAGAATTTAGAAAGCTCCGTGCAAGCACAACTTGGTGTTCTCACATGAACTCTTAATGTTCATGCAGCAAGGAAAAATATCCAAAGCAGCTTTTGAGTTGTTTATTGTTATTCTGCTCTGCGTTCTGACACTTAATACCAGTCGACCCTGACTCCACCTGCTTTTACTGTCATGAATTGAGACATTTCTGAGTGTAGACAAGCAGAAGACAAAAGGCCATTCTCCGTTTTGTTCCCGGTGCTCTTTCACAGCTCACTTCCTCTGGGAATAGTTCAAAAGAGACACTGTGCAGCAGAAGACTCCGTACAAGACAAGAAAGACAATTGGATTTTGTCCACTAGTTTACTAAGTGTCTCTGGGCATATAATTTAACTTTTCAGTTGTAAAATGTGAGCTGTTACCAGTGGATGAGGACTGATTAGATGACTGAAGAAATCATCTGGATAGGGCATCAAAAGATCCTGCTTTTTAACACTGTATGACTTTAAAGTCACTTATCCTATCTAGGTAATGAATTTGGTAGACAGTTCCTTGTGTGAGGAGCTTTAAGCCTTGTGAGTAAAAAGCGCTGCATAAACATGAATGAATGTTATCAATAATTTCAGATATTCACATTCTTCTCCTTTCTTGTGGGTAATAACGTGCACTTTCAAGTTTCTGGAAGACTTAGGGTAACATGATTGGTACTGAATTCATGTGATCACTTGCTGTGCAACTATCTTGGAGCAAGGATATGGTCTTTTAAAGTTGTACCCTTTTCCTCTCCATGCAGCGTCCCATCATCTCGATCTGTTGGGGTCACAGAGATTCGCGCCTGCTGATGGCTTCCGGACCTGCGTTATATGTTGTCAGAGTTGAGCACAGGGTCTCCAGCCTGCAGCTGCTGTGCCAGCAGACCATTGCTAGCTGTCTGCGGGATGACAAGGATATCAGCAAACTGACCTTGCCCCCTCGGCTCTGCTCATACCTCACCACTGCCTTTATACCAACAATCAAGGTAAAAGGAAAGAAATGTGTGTGTGTGTGAGGAAGAGGAGAGGGTTGCTTGATTCTCCCCTGCCGTGTGGCTCCTAAGTGGCAATGGATAAATTACAAGATCTTATAATTATCAAAATCACAGTTTTTAAAGCTTGATTAAGGGTCATTCCTGTCCTCTTCAAGAGCCCACTGATCCATTTGGTGCCTGTTAAAATCTGAAAAGAGGGCTCACACATGTTGATCTGCACTATTCCACGGGGATGGCCTTTCCTAGGACATCCCAAGGGTAAAATATGCTGATGACTCACAAAGTCTTCTGAAGAAACTCACGCTGATGATAATACTGTGTCATGATTACAGGAGATTCACAGTGGTAAAACTATTGCCTCCCTACTTGTTACATGAGCCCTTACATTGCCAGGAAAATTACGCTTAAGACCTGTGGCTACCCAGATACTTCTGCTGACAGTGAGTTCTGCTAACAAATTGAACCAGATATTATGCCTTTTCCTGTACCACTAGCAGAGCCATCTGCTCAGCCCCTTTGTTTCATGGTTTTGCCATAAGTTACATCTTAGGATTTCCGAACTCTTTATTACAGCCTATAAACCAGAGCATTAGCTGGTAAATAACCTACATTGAAACATATATGTTTTTGTGTTATGTATTTTTGTGTATGTGTTACAGCATTCTCTTGAGCCAGTTTCAGGTCCTTGTTAAAACAATGCAGAGCTCAGATAACTAATTTTAAATCAGTAGAGTTGGCCCAGCTTAAATGAGAAGAACTTATGTCTATAAAATAATGATTCAGCACAGTTCCATTTGGGTACTGGTAATGAGGGCAATTTGTGCGACCACAAAACATTTAATTTGCCAGAGGAGCACGAATGCTTTGCTGTAATCATAAGTCCTTGATCTCCAAAGATACAGAGCATTTAACAGACCAATGTTTCTCAGTTCTTTCTAGCATGTCTGCTTGTCCCCAGGATGCTTTCCATGTTGTCCCAGAGCCACCTCTGCAGCTCTAGAGCATCAGTGACACTTGCTTGGCTGTTAGGGATGGGATGGCATGGGATGAAGGCAGCAGTTGGTTATAGCAAGGCTGTAAGCCATGATGGGGATCAGAGAAGCAGAGGCAGTACAGGGACACATCATTTCTGACAACCCTTCTGTCACCTCCTAGAGGGGATGCCGGGGTGGGGAGCGGTCATGGGGCTGCGTAGCTGAGAGGCTGAAGCAGAGTTCCCAGAAGCCACATGCCCCCACTGTTTTGTGGGTGCTTCTGGAGCCTCCTCAGCACAGCTTTATACTTCACCCTGGCTCTCTCCCAGCCACATACTCCCACCTACATTGTCTGCCTTGCCTCCAGTGCCTGGCAAGGCACCCTCTTCCCTCCATACACTCCTCTTTCCTCTCCAGCTTGAGGATTACATGCTAGATCTCTCTTCAGGCCATATCTATCTTGTTAGGTTAAGGAGGCTCCTTTTTTCCCCTACTTTTTTTTCTTGTATTTTCATTTTGAAACAAAATGTGTTGACTTATACACATTAGTAGTATTTGTGTTATACAGGCTATATTGTCCTAGACAAAAGCGGTCCAACTGCTTTAGGACTGAGTTCTTCATGGATTAATATGGTATGCTGGTAAGCAGGGCAAAGGAACCCACCCTGAGCTTTCTGCTTGTATTTCTCCACATTGGAGGCAAATAGGCCCTCAGCAAAGATGGGTCATGTGCCTGGAAATGATAAAAGAGGTACAAGTTTCTTCTAGAGGTGACAGCATTGTAGCATAGTGTCATAGCATGTACTAACCAGGAATGGGAACCTGAGTGGCCAAGTTCACCTGGAGGGCCAGCAAGAGACAAGATACTCTGGGACTTAGACTTGACAACCAAATTAAAACAAAAGTTTGTGGTAGAGCCAGGACTTGAATACAGGTTTGTTGTCTTAATTCAGTGCTCTAACCACAGGTCCAATCTTCCTCTTCGATGTTTTATTTTCCTCTTTACAGCTGCTTTTGACCTAACTGAATAATGCACAGCCACTCTGTCTTGCATGTGGGTCCTGCATAACTCACGCAGTAACCTATACTAATCTTCACCTGCCAAGTTAGTTGGGTTCAAATTCAGTTAGTTGTGTTGGGATTAAGTCACCACAGAAAATTAAAAAAACCCCAATAACCTATAGGAAACTCTCTCTTTCCTTCCTTCATTTAATTAAGCCTCCTATCCCAGACCCAAACAATATGAGAGATTTTGTCAGCTACCCAACAGCTGGTAATGAACGGCTTCACTGCACGATGAAGCGGACAGAAGATGACCCAGAGGTCGGTGGTCCATGTTATACTCTGTACCTGGAATACCTTGGGGGACTGGTGCCTATCCTGAAAGGACGTCGTATCAGCAAGTTGCGCCCAGAGTTTGTCATCATGGATCCTAAAACAGATGGAAAAGCAGGTAGAATTGAGTTGTTGCTCTGTATAAAAAAAGATTTAGAAAAACTTTAGATATTAAATCCTCAAGAGTTAAAGAAAATCTACATACGCAACATGGAAGGTAGCCTCTGGATTTTTTTTCTGCTGTGAAAAACTCTTTAGCATAACCTAGGCTCAAGCCTCTCAAATTATACCATGCTGTATCTTCTGTTTTACAAAAGGGAACTTCTTGTATTGTGAATAGTGGAGAGAAGATCACTAATTAGCAGAAAATTTAGTCTCAGTTTTGAAGTCAGTTGAATGCTGTTCTCCCCTCTGAATCACGTCCACTGGAGTTCAAACCGTGGGAAATTTGGGGCTTGTACTAGGCAGGGTGAAGAACGGTTAATTTTCTCTGCATAGTTTTATCTCAAATGCTGCCTGTGCATTGGATTTATGCTTCTGATGACTGATAGTTGTAATTGATACCGGTTTTCTGAAGCAGCACTTAGTTTTCTGGGGCCTGTTTTGATAGATGAAATCTACGGAAACAGCTTGATTTCCACTGTGATTGACAGCTGCAACTGCTCGGACTCCAGTGATATCGAATTGAGTGATGACTGGGCAGCAAAGAAATCTCCAAAAATCAGTCGAGCTAGCAAATCACCCAAACTCCCCAGGTAATAATTTCTTGGATATTTCTTCTTCTTTTCCCCCAGGTTTTCTTCTTTTCTTTTCTTTTTCCTTTTCTTTGTTTTTTTAAACACTGTCTTGACACCTCATGAAATTAAAAGCAAACTCCTTTGGGTAGATAGGAGTCTTCTGGAGGAGTAGGGTCCTCTACAGCGTACACTTCTGGGGTGATCTCAGAGATTGTGTTGAGGTGGACTTTGGGGAAGGTTCTTGGGAAAAGTTAATGGGAATCAAAAGGGCACCACTTCTCCCCAAGCAGTCTCAAAGAAAGATTTCATAAACTCTCCCACCACTGCCTCTGCGACATGTAAACGCTTGCCACCATAGCATGTATTTTGTTCTTCAGACAATCTGTGGTTCTGTCTCCTTTGTGCTTAAGGTCCCTGGTCTAGTTAAAGCCTTCATTTCCTCAGGAGTATTTTCAAATTTTTAAGTCCATGCATAGGTGACACTGCTGCTGTGGTGACCTTGCAAGGGAGCCTCAACGGATCCTCCTAAACAGTGGTTGATGAGCTTCTGTAACGATATGCAAAATAAGCTTCTAAGATATTCATCTGGTTGTTTTCCTGCCAGCTCTTCAGTATATTCATTATGCACGTAGACAGAACCGTCCACCTGCACAGAGCCTCACTGATGTCTGTGGTGCCTCTCCTAAGTACTGACGTCTATCTGCCAGCTTCATGTTATGGGACTGAGGCCCTGACACCTTCTAGCTGCAACTGACACTTTTCCAAAGACCTTATAGTATGAGCTTTCCCTAGTATGAGGCAAAGCGAAGGCTTCTCTTTATATGTGAATATAATGTGTGAAATACCAAAGTTTTAGTTCAGTAGTACTTGACAAAATAATCATCAGTTCCTGAGCCTAAAACTGAAATGGCTCAGGAAAAACAGCTATCTTGCCATCCTTGGTTTTCTAAGAGCATACTTCTGAAATGTAACTTTTGTTTATTATTTTTTCTACCAGTGAGCTTTTTCAGGTGCTTGATCTCTTACTCATGACCCGCTTTGTATAGTAGCAGGTAGGAATAACTTTTGGCTTAGAGTAAGAGCACTGATGAATTTTGTGACACCTTGGTTTGCCATACTAACATGGCGGTCTGCCAGCTGAAGTGTCATGTTTCCATTTCTTGAGGCTTTGCTCAAAGTCTGCATAGCTGAAATAGCTCAGCCCTACACCTTTTTATGGATTAGTGGAGGATATATTGTATGTGGCAGAACTGCTGTAGGCTTTGTTAAACGAATCAGAAAGCATCCGGTCTGAGTTACTGCAAGTGTGTCAGGCCTTATATATCCTTAAGTTTGACCCATAACTCTCCTTCCTGTAGACTCTACAGTGTTCAGTAGTCACTTAGAGGACACCATACCCATTGTCTTCATTACATCTTTACGTTCAAAGACATGAATTTTGTGCATTTTTACATGCCCATTGATGATGCTAATTATCGCTTTGTACGTAGAATCAATATAGAAGCTCGCAAATCTCCAAAGATGTCACGAGCTGCGCAGGAGATATCAAGATCGCCAAGGTTACCAATAAGGAAACCTTCTATTGGTTCACCGAGCCTAACCCGAAGAGAGTTTCCTTTAGAAGATATTACTCAGGTATTGTGCACATTGTTACCAGACCTGAGTCAAAATGCATTTCTTTCCAGAGGTAGCAAGTTGTGTTATAGATCCAATGGTCACCAATAAAAAATTTTCATTTAATTACAGTAACTAGATGGAACAACTAGAGAATTGTATCTTCCAGTTCAATGTTAATGTTCAGAAGTGTCAATGGAATATCAGGTGTTGTTTGATAAATCATGGCACCACTAACTTCTGTCAATGTGAATCCATGTGAGAGGTTTTATTCCAGTTGATGTTGTTGGCTGTTTGAAAGTGTGTATGAAAACGCTTCATCAGTTTCTCAGAGCTGTCTTAATGCCACCATATTTCTCTGCTTTGCTAGGTATTGCAGAGATAAGGAAACGCTTGCTTCAGAGGGCCACATGTTCTTTGTTTCATAATTAACGTGGAACAGCTTTAATTGCAAGGAATTAGCACTTTATGCTCTTTGTGGTGTTCATGTCCTGTGGCTAAATGAAACTTAGCAGGCTCTAGAACTGTCTGGGTTACATATTTTATTAATACTAGCCTGTGTTCTTTTAATTTTGTTTTGTTTCGTTTCATTTGTTTTTTTCTGCTCTGTCATTTTGCTTCTTCCTTTATATTGAAACATTCTAGGTCAGTTACACAGCAGCAGTAGATAAGAACCCAAAGTCCTTTGAATACAGCAGGAGACAAGAGGCTTAGATCCTGCTCTTGATATTGACAGTGTAACTCTTGGCCTTTGAGAAAATCCCTTGGTCTTTCAGACCCATAATTTGATCACCATGGAAGCAGTGGTTTGGGACGCTACTTCGGAAGGTCCAGGAAAAATATTTTTGTCATTATAAGTAATTAATTTCTATCTTATTTATTGTTCTATAAAGTGATTTGTAAGCATAGAACTAAAGGCCGGGATATATTAGTTTCTGAAACACAGAATAGCCATGCTTTTGTGTGCGGGAGAAGTAGGAGAAACAAGTGTCTGAAAACAGACCTATTCTCACTAAGCAGCCATCATGTTGTTCAGTTCTTCAACAGCTTTAATCAGCCTACATGGCTGTTGTATACATCATTCCTGATGGTGTTCAGATATCAAAATGAGACTTCTTAATGACTGGGTATAACAGTCGCTACATAGGCACATTAGGCTGTTTCAGTAAAATAAAAACAAGAGGAGATGAAATTGTATTATTTCTTGCAATAGCTTGATTGCTCTGCAGATTTTTATTAGAGCTTGATACATATTTTATTAGGTGAAAATGATCTTGTTTTTGCTTTGCAGCACAACTACCTTGCTCAGGTCACATCTAATATCTGGGGAACCAAATTTAAAATTGTGGGCTTGGCTGCTTTCCTCCCAACTAACCTTGGTGCAGGTAAAAGTAAACTGTTGATTTTTTTGGCATGTCAAACTCTTTCTAACAAACAACAAACTTACGCCATGTGATTCTTTTTAAGTGATCAAAAGGCTTAACAAAGCACTTATTTTCAGTGGACAGTAGGAATTAGATTTTACAAAATTCACTGTAACTGAAAGAGGTTTAAATCTATAAATACAATAATGAGTTAATCAATAAAACATTAAAAGTCTCCGTCTTAATAAAAAGATTAATAAACAGTCAAGCACAGACCTTTGTTTCTACAGATTATTTGAACAAAACCCAAACAAAGAAAAGCTTTGCAATAAGACTACAAAAATAAAAGGTTTTAAGTTACTGTAATAGAAATACTTTAAAACTCTTTTTTTTATAGTCATTTAGCTACTCATTATACCAAAATAATGTTAAAAAATCTCTTACAGTGTCATGCTCAAGATTCTTTAGGTCATTGCATAGTCTTAGCATATGGTTCTCTTGCTGGAGCATCAGTAAATTGGTAGCCTTCATTAAAAGTAGCAGTTGTCTAGTCTTTTGACTTTTTGACATAGATAGTCCTGTTGAAAGGAAGAAGACTAAGTAAAGAACAGGGTACCACCTAGCAGAACTGAGTTCCGAATTGAAATACTAACGCAAGTATAGGCATTTTACGAGCTCTTCGGAAAACTTATTTTCTCCTGTGTTGCATTATATAGTTAGGCCAGGACTACATAATGATGTTCTGGATGCAGAATTAGTTAAGTAGATATCTTTTGTGGCTACACTGACGACTATCAGACAGGAGATGGAGTCCCAACTACTGGGGAGAGGACCTTCTTTGGCCCAGCCTCCAGGCAAAGGTGGTTCTCCCAGGGTGTTGTCACCCTGGGTACAACCATTGCTACTACTATAGGGCAGTGTCACTTTCTACTTAATAAAGTGTTATGGAAACCCTCAGGTTTGTTCAAGCCACCTTTTTTTTTTTTTCCCCAAGTAATTTACAACTTTCTGACATCTACATTTGCAATGATTCTCAAAAGATAGTGTAAGAATGACCCTACTGGGTCAGACCAGAGGTCATTCTAATTCATTATCAGTGACCATTATGTAGGGAAGGATTTAAGTGTAGAATAAGTGTGTAGTGATACTTCCTTCAAATGTTCCCACAGTCTCCAATGGTTTGGGTCCCAGGGACTCCCTGAGCCAGAAGGGGTTTCTTTGTATGTAGTAACCCTCAACAGATTACCTTCCTGAGAGCTTTCCAGTTTTCACCTAAACTCACGTAAGTCGGTAGCATCATGTGGTGAAGAGTTCCAAAAGTAGAATGGAAAAATTATTTTCCTTCCATAAAAATTTATGTGAATACAAGATGAAGTAATTCATTATTTCTACAGATTATTTAACTACAGAGATGCTGCTTCTATTTAAAGAGAAATAGCTGAAAGTAGCAATCTTTTCTATCCTGTTTATCCAAAGTGTTACAGAGTGATTTGGCTAGGGATGGCCCATACATGCAATTGGTCATTAATACATTAAATAAAAATAGCCATAGCCCTTCTGTCTGCTTTGAATTGAGTCTTTTTTAGCTGTAGATGCTCTTTGTGTAACAGATTATTTTTATTTATTTATTGTTATACTCTTTCTCCAGTAATATATAAAACCAGTTTGCTGCATCTGCAGCCCAGGCAGATGACAATATATCTCCCAGAAGTGCGGAAGATTTCAATGGACTACATTAACCTGCCTGTCTTTAATCCAAATGTTTTCAGCGAAGACGAAGATGATTTACCAGGTAAGGAGGAGCTGGACGTTTGCCATGTTATGGGTTAAGCTAGATGGAGGACAGATCACTTGTGTCACTAGCCCTGGTGGGCTAGTAAACATAGAAATCAAAATCTCATAGTCTGATGGGGTCCTGTAGAACTGAATTAGAATAAGTCTCATATGTATTACGGACATTGTTTTCTAAAATATGTGGAACATATTAACAGTGTAGAGCTGCTAAGTTTCAAGTTCATTGGAAAATGAATCATCTTCCATTTTGTTCTCTAAGAATTCTCCATAGACCAAAGACTTGCATTCTGCATCTTTGTAGGACAGCATTGTAATGTGTTGGAAGCCCAGAAGGGTCGTTCTTGTGACCTGATGGCAACAAAGCACAGCCTGCTGATAGGAGCTTCGGTAGGAGGGCAGGTTCCCATAAAACTCAGCCACCCTTTGAGAGATGATAAGTGACCGTTTGAATTTTATCAATACCAAGTCTTGCAGGGAGGCTAAAATAGTAAAGTAGTCTATAAACAAGGGGGATCAGGAAGAATTTCTCATTTCACTGAGATGTAAGGTAGCAGAAGGTTCAAGCAGTGCAGGGGAGACTTGGGTGCAGTTGATGTGAATGTGGCGGGTAAGAGGACTAGAAGTACTCAGGACCTCCTCCAATCAAAAAAAATTATCATGCCAATAAAATCAACAGATAATAGACAGGAAGATAAATTAATACATTTTCAGAATTTCAGTGAGGGTTTCCTGTTGCCAGGTCACAGGATTTTTGGAACTACAGGAATGGTTGTCATGCCAGTACCCTTTAAGGAGGAAGGAGTGTGAGCACCGCAAAGCAATTAAAGGCTTGTGCTAGAGTCTATTGAAATAAATGGAAATACTCCCATTATTTCAGACCAGGGTTTTGGCTGCTGAAAGCACCAAAGCTTGTGTCTGACTCGAGCATCAGAGTAGTCCTCTGGATTTCTAAAGAAATACTGGTGTGCCTAAAATGAAGCCCATTCTTTCACGATTTGGGGCTTGGCTTGGCTTGCCTAATTTGTGTCTACGTGATACTCATCTGTAGGATCTGAAGAAAATAATAGAGACATTGAAGATTTTACATATATTATGCATAGGAAGCACTCATCATTTTCTGTTATGAAACATGGTCTAAGCTGACAGAAAGTAATATAAAAATTAAATAGAAAAAAAAGTTAATATAAAGTTTTTGCATCCCTTCCTGAAAATGGGATTAGATCTGCAATATCAATTCCTTTTATATTATTGAAAGAGCTGAAATAAAAATATGCCGGAAAATTTTTAGAGTTTTGCTACAGCTCTTTGAGAAGGCTAGTATAAGAATCATACTACCCTGTCCTCCGTAACAGCCTTCCTCTTCCTGTCCACTTTCTTCTTTCTAGTTTCGTCTAAAAATTTATTTCTGACTTAGCAAATGGAGGCTACTTAAATCTTCAGAAACATTTTTGGGAATATCCTTTCTTAAAGCCTGCATATAAAGGGAAGAAGTGTCATATACTAATGGGAGAAATATTACAAAAAACACAAAATAATGTTTGCATGATAGATTAAAAAAATAGTAAAAAGCTGTTCTTGGGCAGTGGAATGTTAGTAGTGAGGTACTCTTGGGACAGGTGCTTTTTAATGTAGTCAGTAAGATTTGGCAAGGCAAGTGGACAGTGAATTGATTTAACTTGCAAATTATGCAAACAAATCAATTAAAAACCATTGGAGAAATGAAAAAAACATTGGATTTTAACACTTTGGGATATAAAGCAACACCACGACGAATGAGATTTTGTTTGATAAGGTACTTAATACCCATGACAACAACTTTCTGGGTTGCTCAAGCCAAGCTAACAATTAAACCTTAAGCTCTGGTGGATAAATTGCTAGCCTGCAGGCATCAGGGTGAAAGCATGGCCAGCCAAGCACAGAGCCACTCTGCCTTAGGGTCAGTTAAGTTTAGCTGACCGTCTCCTCCTGAAGGAACAAACAGAACTACCATAAAAATTTGCCAGCATAGCCACAAACCTATCTGTACACCTACTGCATTGGTGACTGAGGCTGATAAAAGCCTAATGCTATTGAAAATGTAATTATAGGGCATAGGTATATGACTAGAATTTAAATTAGAAATTAATTAGGAACTGGGCAGTGGCTGGAGGAGTCCTGACTGATGGATCTCTTGCCTGATCTGGTCTTGCAAATCAGAGGTCTCCACAAAATTTGACACACTTAAATGATCCGGGATATGACAGTAGGATCCTGGATATGGCTCTAGTCTCTTTTCCTTCCATAAACCTGCTGATGCAACTTGCTTAGAGAATCTGCAAGATTCTTGGGGGTTTTAATATGGTATTTACTGTTTCGCCTCATTATTATATTTTGTTCCTTCTTATCTTGACTTCTGCACCTGTACTTGGTTCCAGTGTCCTCATTTCCCTGCCACGCTTCAGCTTTTCAGAGATAGTTCCTGTTGGAACCACTCTTACCACTTTTTGCAAAAGGAACTGCAAGCAATTGAGCAAGCTCCATGCTTCTGCTTAAAAATCATCAGAATTGCTTCTTGCCTCACTGTTCCTTGTTCACACCACCACGTGTGGGAAACTTTTCCTATATACATTTGCTTCTTTTCACACTTCTGATTGCAGCCTGTCCAGACATTGATGCTGAACTTGCACTGACGACAGTATCCACTTCTTGAATCTTTTTGTCTTCCCATCTGTTTCCTCACATCTTTTCCTTACAAATCTTCTTTCAAGAAATTTTTTAAGTTTTATCTGTATTTCATTCCATTATATTCCCCTCTCTCTTTGTTTCCTCTTCCTTTTGCATTACTGGTTGCTTTGTAACCCACTATACTCCAAAGACAATACTGCTTCCCTTTTCCCAACTGTTGTCTGTATTCTCCAGTTTTCCTAAGCTCATTGAGTCTGGGAACATTATCATAGATAATATACAGTGCCTTCAGTGCAGGTCTTCAACTTTGTTTTTCTTTTCCTCCACTTTTTTTTTTTTTTTTTTTAAATAACAACAAACTTCCAAGTCAAAACTCATAACTGCTGTGAGATCAAGGCAGGCTTGAGGAGCATCATTTCATCTTCCTCCTGAAGCTCAGTTCAGCATGGCACAGGGACACCTGAGTGCCACCTCAGCGAGTTAGCCTGGTCCAGCGGGGACTTTTTTGTGCTTCGCCCTCAGGTAGCAGCAGCCCTAGAGGAAGTCAGGAAGCCACAGTAGTGGTCCTAGGACTAGGGACAGAGAAGAGGGGCTAGAACCAGGGGCAACAATGGGTTTCTGAGTGGATTATGCTTTCTATTGTTGATGCATTTACTGTCAAAAACCCCTCCTTGAAAACTGGTGAGTCCTGATTCAGCAAAACTTTTATTGGTTTGAGTAGATATATTTAAAAATGGATGATGAGTGAGTGGTAATTCAGATTATGAAAGTCTGTGGGAATCAGCATAGACTGAAAGTGAGCTCTGAACTTTGCCTCTGAAGCATTACTCCCAAGAAGTTACTTTAAAGTTGATCACCAACCGTTACAGATAGATACTGTGCAGTGGGAATCAGTGGAGACAGGCTGGCTTACTTGTTCAAACTAATTTCTGATCCATTGATTTGGGGATCTGATAGCGCTCCATCCAAAATGCAGCAGAGTGCTTAAGCCAGTATGTGAAAATAGCAGGTAGTTTAAAAAGTCAAAGGTAAAGTGGAATAACAAAGTACAAAAGATGTGCAGTGTTCTTTCTTCTAATTGGCTTTAGAAAACAATTTCCCCCAGTTTCTGAAATTTGTGTAAACACTGCCATGAAATTTTTCCATTAAATGTTTTTTAGTGACCCGCATGTCTTCTGCAAGAGCTGAAGAAAACCCCAAAATATGTCAAATACCGCTTCAGGAAAATTCCCTATTTTAGTGCCTGTTAGCCAACTGCTTGCCTGATCGCTGCAGTCAGCAAAGGCTCGTGGCCTCTCTGGGCCCAGGGCTGGGGCGGCCCCACAGCACAGGCCTTGCCACTGCTGTCGCATGCGAGGGGCTGCGGGGCGGAGGAGGCCGGGGCGGCGGGTGACACGCTGTGTTGTTCGTTGCAGTGCCCGGTGCCCCCGGCG